AAAAATCTCTTGGATTTGTTTAATTTGTGGAATTCAAAAAGTGCGTTTTCAAATTACTTCTTTATATCATCTAAGAACTAGGAGTACTCTTACTAAAATAACAAAACAAGGACACTTGTTTTGCTCGTTCGACATGCTAGTTTGATGCTCGTTTTAGTTATGTTTAAATTTGGCTATAAACTTTGTCACACACTTAGATTTGTTTAATTTGTGGAATTTAAAAAGTGCTTTTTCAAATGACTACTTTATATCATATAAGAACTAAGAGTACTCTTACCATAATAACAAAACAAGTAGACTTTTTTCGCTCGCTCGCCATGTTGTTGCTCGTTTTCTGGTAATATTGTTGTTATGTTATCTACACTAAATAAAACAAAATAGAAAATATCCTAACCTCTATCTTCACACTGTGGTGAATTCTTTTCGTCCATGATTTCCTCCATAATTTTTTGTTTCGTTTTTATAATTTTTACAAAAAAAAAAAAAGCTAAAAAAAGTCGTCATGGTCCAAGTGACGTGTGATTCGAAAGCTCGACCAATCAGAAACGCGATGTACACCTGGCGGGCGACACTTTTAGCGTTACGCACAGGGTTCCAATACGATGACAACGAAAACTGAGTTGGATAGTTTACAATATTCTATACCTATGGTGCTCCGCTCGCGTTTCGGCCCTCGCGGGAGCTCCGCTATTATTATGGCAGTATATTACGCACGAATGCACTAGTTTGCTCTTTTCTCCTACTAAGCTTTGTACTGACCTCATTACATTTTTCGGATACCCGGCTAGTACGTCCATGATGATGTTATGCTGTGTAATTTTGTATCCCGGGAACCTGTGTCTTTTATTCCAATCTCAATGGTCCGTACTTGTCTTTTTTTGTGATCTAACTTCACGGTTATTGATCCATGGGCAGCTCATCTCTATTAGAATAACTTCACTTTCTTGTCAATGATCCGTACATCAATGCGGTTTGCTCGTACTTCTGTTTTTTCAGGGTAAAGGGGGACGTCCCATAAGGCTCTCACTTGATCATTCTCATAGACTGGTTTCGACTTGATTGGCTTATACCAAGCATACTCCTCCCTTGGTAGTAACTTGTAATTGGCGAGGATCTCAAAAAACAGGATTCTTAGGACGTTGTTATGTCTCTCCACGTAATTTGTGCTATCGCACCACATCCAGCGAGAACATGTGCGACGCTCTCTGGTTCTTTTCCGCACATTCGACAAGTATAGTCATGGATGTTCAGTGTTTTGAATTTCTTTGCCAGGTACAGCTTTTTTGGTAATATAGTTGTTGATACAGCTCTTAAAGTCCAGCAATTGTGTGCGTAGGTGTGCTGTATTCCATTCACGCATCCAGCTGAAACAAGCTTTATGAAGATCCTCATCCTTCCATCTGTTGACGAACAACTTGCCTTCCCACTTCTGGTCCTCAACTTCTTTCGTTAGCATGTTGAATCGTGTTGGTTTAAGGGCTTTCTTGATTTGCTTGTGTAGAATCTCTTCACCTTCTGCTGTAGAGCACACAGAACGAGGAAATAATAACTTCAGTTCCAAATTCAATTCTCTTGCATACTCTACTGCATCTTTGCCTAAGGAATGGTGGCCTCGCTCGAATGCTCTCTCATCAAAACTTCGGGCCGTTCCAATCATTGGATCAGGGTTCTCTTAAACCTCCAAAGCTGCCTTGATCTTAACCAGCTTGTACTCCAGCTCCACCGATTGAAGACCTCTACCGCCCATACTTCTTGGCAATAGAGCACTCTGTTCGAGCTTGTAGGGTGTTGACCACCATTTTCAGTGATAATGTAGGCTTTTTCGAAGGTTCTACCTCGGGAATCGGTCGATGTCGAGATGCGGGTGTTTTTCACAAAGTTTTATTCAAACGTAGTTCGAGGGTCAATTACATGTTTCTATCCATTTTGCTAGTTTACACTAATACACGATTCGCTGTGGATGAAAAATTATAGGCATTAAAATGTGAATCTAACGTCTACCAAACTCAAAACATAACTTACACATTTTTTGGCTATCCCGAGGTAATCTAAAAAAGTCTCGATCTCCTTCCTTAATAACAGTCAACTCCTACTTTCTCTACTCCTCACTTCGACTTCCCCGCACTTATGCCAAGTTGATACAAACGTGGTGGACCTATAACAACAGTAAACTTGGCTTCCGCACTTAAGATACATTTACTTATGTATCCTTATTTTTAATGAAAACATCTTGGAATATGGTCAAGTGACAACATACATACAGACCTAATTTTCTTTATATTCTTGAAAAGGGATGTTGGTACATGACAAGAAAGAATTTTATGTTTTTACCTTTGCAATTACCCTCGCAATATGCACTCTGTGTTTGGCATTTTTCTAAGTCAAAATAGTACATAATCCATCCTGCTTACTCATTAACATTAATTAAGATATGGAGAGTCACCCCTGACGAGCAACAAACTCGCAGGGATAAACCTAAGAGTAAGCAGGAAGGGTGGGTGGGAGG